AATGAACGGAAGGGATTTTTGTGCACAGTTGGGCTTGGGAATCCCAGCTGGAGAGGTTGGTCATCTGTGGAGAAAAGCAGCTGCCCTGGGGGGTGTGGCAATGAGCCGGTGGATCCTGCTGGATTTTTTCTGTCCCCTTTCTTCATAGTCCTGCATTGACTCAGCAGACATTGTTCAGTGGATCCAGCATGTGCTGGGCTGTGTGGGCATCAGGCAGCAATAATCCTCCACTCCAGGAGTCAGGGGCTGGCCTGGATGATTCAATCCAATTTTTTAAAAAAGATTTATTTATTTATGCATATAAGAACTGGGGTACAGGCCAGAGGTGCGGGTTGGGGGGACGGATGGGGGAGAATATACCAGAGACAGAGTGGGGAGCAGAACATGCAGATTGATTGAAATACACTGCTGAGGTATTGCAGCAGGTGGGACAGGAGAGGTCTGCCACACCATATGGGTCACCTCCTTGGCTGGGAATTGAATTCATGCTGCAGTGGCTTCTGACAGCTCATAGTACTTAGCTTTAATCTGTTCCACCAGGGAGGGCCCACAGTCCAAATGTTACTGAGTAGGAGATCTTGTCACTTAGGAATGGGCAGTGTGGCTCACAGCCAGACATGGTATCTCTTTGTATCTTACTTACTAAATGGGGGCCACATCCTGGGAGGTTTTTGGGGGGGGGTGCAGAACTGGCTCTATTCAATAACTTAAGCCTTGATTTCCCCTTCCTTATCCATGTAATAATCCAGGGGATTATTCAAAGAGCGCTTTGGTTTCCGGAATAGTACAGTATTTATGGTGAAGACGATTCTCTGTCCCCCTTTCATAGAGAGTTCCTTATGGAGCTTGAAGGGTGACTCTAAGAAGGTAATGCTGAGATGCTCCTTACCAATGGGGAGTCTTGGAAGTGGGTGCAATGTTCCCCTATACCTCTATGAGCAAGGGAGAATAGTGACATGGTGAGATGGGTCATCGTGGACTGCTAACCAGGGTATGTGAGTTGTTCTGGGCCACGTGGACACTGCAGAGTTGGCCAGGCTTGTTGGGATCCCACCCAAGCAGACTGACTGTAAACAGGAGGCAGGGGGAGGCAGAAGAGTTCAAGCCTGAACTGGATGTCCCCTGTCAGAGGACCATGTAGTGGAGGGACCCCCCAAAGAAAGCAACCCCAAGAAAAAAGAAAAGGGGAAAACTTCCGCCCCAAGGTAACCAAGAAGCCGGAACAACAAAAAACCCCGTGGCCTTTGTTCTTCCCTACCTCCCCCCTCAATTTCAACACAGGGAGAGTACCGGGACAGCTCTCTTAGCCAGGCCAAACCCTCCCTGCTCTTTTATCCAAGCAGGTAGGGTCTTGGCTCAGGTCAACCCTTGGATGAGGAAGGGAGAAGATAAAATAAAGTCTAAATGGAGTTTGAGAATAAAACTTTCAAGGATGGAGGTTTAACAACAGAAAGCAATCCACAAGTAATGCAATCTGCCCAACGTTGTCACTGAAGAATGGAAAAGGGAGCACCCACTCAGCCTGGCTGAAGGCAGAGATGAGGGGAAATAGCTTCATTACGCTGCCCCATGGGGCTGAGTTGCCTCAAAGCACTGACTCCATGAATAAGCAGAAGAGTAGAAATATGGCGTGACTGAGCTGGCATCTTGCTTAGCTAGGCAGCCCCAGGGTGCTGAGGGGCACCCTGGGGAGTCGCTGCAGACACTCCAGTTGGCTCTCCAAGAGGGCTTTCCAGACTCGGAGTGCCCAAGTGCGAGCCTTGAGGGACCAGCAAGGACTGTTTCCATGCAGAGTAGAGGAAGACCTTCCAGGCAGAGGTGACAGCAGGGAATGGTGCTGTAGCAGCAAGTGGCAAGCTGAAAGGACAGTTGGAGCTGCAGGCCAGGGACCCCGAGTGCTGTATTATAAACCTGGAGCAGTGCGATCAGTTTGCGTATTAGAATTATCCGGTTGCCAGATTGGGGCACCACTGTGGACTTGACCTCCAGGCACACTTCTCATCCATAGACCCAGCCCTGTGACAACCACCCCCCCTTCTTACCAAGGCCATTTCCTCTGTGGTCCCCAAATCCTGGGTCCTGGATCTTTTGAATGTCTTTTGCTTCCCTGCCACCATGGAGCCCTTCATCCTCTCCCCGTCCCCTCCTCTTGGGACTCTGATATGTTGCCATGTTGCCACCCTCTTGGTAAACTATGCTCTCTCCTTCCCTTCCAGCAAGCACTTCTCAGCCCAAGAAGATTCCATGCCTCCGCAGGGCCTGGGCATGCCAGCACATGTCTCCTTGGGGTATGCGTATACTAAAATATCTTCCCTTTATCTTATCTGGTCTTCACCCCATGGGGTAACCCGAAGGCTACTATTTATTCTTTCACACATTAATTTAAGCTGCTTTAATTGCTGCTATGATGTTTTATATAATATAATTAATGTTTTAATTCTGTGTACTTGCCTCCCAAGGCAGTTTTGCGAAGGGCCCAATTTTGGAATCAAGCAAATAAAGAATAAGGAATGGCCGAAGTCATAGAGCAACGCCTCCCCCCGACCCAAGGAATTAAAACTGTTTGTTTTTTCCAAGTGGATTAAGAAGGGAAGCGATCGTTTAATATCCTCTTGGTCCTGGGTCTGTTCAGGTGGCATTCATGACCTTTCCTGGACGCTCATGTCCAGCCTTCCTTGCCTGTCATGGTCCACTGGCCACAAGCTTGAGGTCAGCATTGGCACAACTAGCTTAAAATGTTAAAAGTATGTTTATTGACATACTTTTGATTTACAAAATTGTATGTTTTAGGGGTAGATTGGTTCAGACCTCTGTAAATGTAGGTCACACCACACCCACCGCCAAAGCGCCAGTGATCTTCCACCATCGTCCATGAAACCCCCTCCTCCTTTTACTCCCCAGCCCACCCTCCTTGGAGCCTCAGTTTTTAAACTTTTTTTAGCATCAGTTTTATATTCAGGTTTTTAGGGGTGGCTTTCGTTTGCTTTGGGGCCAGTCTCACTTCCCATCTCCTGCTCTTCACTCTTCCTGGTAGAGGCTGTGCTTGGTGTGAGCAGTTCCTGAACCCACGAACTTCTTTATTTACTCGCCCAGCAAGTGTGGGTGGGTATGGGTGTGTGTGCCCAGCACTGGAGTAGATTCAGTCCTGTCTTTAAGGAGCTCACAACCAAATGTAGGTAAACAGAGCAAAAAATGGGGGGGGGAGTTGGGATGCAGCGTTATTGTCTCAGTGAGTTAAGAGGGGGCCAAACTGGAGATGAGGCAACATTTCAACGGGAAGAGAAGGGGAGGAAGAAGACATCAAGACAGAAAAAGTATAAGAAAAGCCAATTACATGTTTGGAAACTGAGGAGAAGGTGGGCATGGCCGTGTCAATGTGCATGGGACACAGGACAAGGAGAGAGAGGTTGGTGCTGAGTGGGCATGGGCTGGCCACAGGAAGAGTTTGTAGGGGATCCCAAAGAAGTTTTTAATCAGGGAAGTGTCCCAATTAGATCATCAGATCAGAGCTGGGGCTTTCAAAGAAATGGAGAAAGAGAAAGAAAAAGAGAATTGGAAAGGGAGAGAGGG